CTCATATATATATATATATATAAGGGATCCATCTACTTTAAGAGTAAGTCTATCTAGACTTACTTCGTTCAATTACCCATGTTCTATATCAAATTTTAATGATCCAATCGTTGAATATTTAAAGTTCTTAATGCACAGATCAAGTATGCAATTTTTTTTAAAAAAATTGAATATCATTTGATATTTCATTTCATTAATTTAAATCAATGTATAAAATAAGTTTATGATTATCCGTTAATTTGAAATAATGAAATGAAGTATTAAATAATTTTCAAATTTTCTAAAAATTTGTAGACTTGATTTATGCATTAAGAACTTTAAATTAAATGGTTGGATCGTTGAAATTTGATATAGAACATGAGTTATTGAACGAAAAAAGTCTAGGTAGACTTACTCCTGGAATAAACGGATCCCTCTTTTAGTAGATTTTTCTACCTTAATAATTTAGTCTTAATCCCTTTTGTAAATCAAAGTTGAGGCTAATGGATATCACTGAAGCCTTTCAATATAGGCATGATGGTCACCCTGGCCCTTATAGGAGCCCTGACCCTAATAAGATCACAAAACGTGGCCCTGATGGAAGGCCACCACCACAGGATTGCTTGCACTGGTGCATGCCTGGCCCTGTTGATACCTGGAATGAACTTGTGTTTGAAATCATTAGGAGAGAATATAAAGGTGGAAGGGCATCATGAGATTTGTTTATTTTTTTACTATCAAGGTCTATGTTGTGCTTGTCCACTCAATTGGGTATGACTTGTGTAGAAATATGATTGTTTGAGAAGGGGTAAAAGATAGTAGCCAACTTGAATCTTTTCATAGCATATTTATTAATTATAGAGATTTTTTTTTAAAGATTGGGATGATAATATGTTAGGTTATTCCACAACCATCAAAAGTCATTTGTACTACTACATGATCCTATACAAGTTTTGATATTAAATATCACCTTATATTGTTTCTTGCATTTGCGTGTTATCAAGGAACACAACAGAAAACTCATACATCAAAATAGAAAATATTCATATTTTACATGTTCCTAGAAGCATGCATCAGGCAAGGAATTAGGGGTTAATCCTGCTACCCAACAATTATTCCTACACCTCCAAGCGAAGTTTCTCACTCACCCCTTACCTTGATGAGCATAAGATGAAGCACGAGTAGAATCAGGTTGGTTCTCTTCTTCAGGTTCTCCTTGGTCTTTAGAAGCGTAGAAAGAAATGAGTCAAGAAGAAGTGAATACGTGAACTGACTTGGTAACCTCTCTTAATCCTTTTTTTCTCTTCTTCAGGTTCTCCTTGGTCTTTAGAAGCGTAGAAAGAAATGAGTCAAGAAGAAGTGAATACGTGAACTGACTTGGTAACCTCTCTTAATCCTTTTTTTCTTAATTAATAAAATAAATATTAATAATAAATAAGCCGAGCTAACTGATCGGCTCGTTCATTATTGCTTCGTAGGACGTGTCGTATCTGATCCTTAGTGAAGTCGTCCTTGAGTTTTTGGAAGAGGTGGTAGTATTGCAACATATTGGAGTCTTTGACCTGAAAGTTATCATTGACCTGTTCGGCCATGATTTTCGAGTCAGTCCAGCACCTGACTTTTTTCACGCCCATCTCGGTTGCTAACCGCATCCCGGCCAGCAAGGCTTCATATTCTGCTTGGTTGTTAGATGCTCGGAAACCGAAGCGAAGGGATTGTTCTATGGTGATGCCTGAGGGACTAGCCAAAATTATACCTGCCCCACTTCCTTGGGCATTAGAGGATCCATCGACATGCATGGTCCATGGTTTGTCTTCAAAACGACCTGGAGGAGTGAGCTCGTTGACAAAGTCGGCTAAATGCTGTGACTTGATGGGGCCTCTTGGCTCGAAAGATACGTCGAACTCTGAAAGTTCGACCGACCATGACATCATCCGGCCGGCAATCTCTGGTTTTCTTAGGAATTTTGCAATTGGACAATCAGTTTGGACAACTATCTTGTGACTTTGGAAGTACTGCCTGAGCTGGCGGGCGGTGTAGATGAGCCCTAAGGCTACTTTTTCTATCAATTGGTAGCGTCGTTCGGCATCCTGTAGTGTCCGACTGATGAAATACACCGGTTGTTGTTCGTCTTACTTCTCTTGAATCAGGACGGCACAGATTGAAGTGTCGGAGACAGCTAAATACACAACCATGCCGAGGTTATAAATATCAAAAGACCTCCACGTCCCTCCTTCCATTCTCATAAAAAATAATAATATTAATATTAATATTAAACATACCTTCTCCCTTTTATAAGATAACTTAAACATAATTATTAATAATAAAATATATTCATAAAAATAACTCCTGCTCCACTAATTAAACAAAATATAATTGCAAATCGTGTCACATAATTAAAATAGAGCTCATATAACTAATTAATTAATATTTAAAACTAAAATAAATACATTAATCGTGAAAACAATTTCTAAAATAGTATTTATTATAAGATATGAAATTCATGATGTTACATGATCACTATTTTTGATACTTGATCTTGTTTCCTTGTCATTTGTTCCTTGAAACCCTGATGCAGAAAAATTATAATGTGAATGTTTACATAAAAAAGTATTAATTGAATAAAAAAGAACAAAGAGTCTTCATATATAAAGATAAGTCATCATAAAGAAAATGACAAATTTAAAACATATTTAAAGTTAAACATGACTAACCAAAACTAATGTTAGTATTTTATATTAATCATAAACATTGGGATTAATGTGTATATTACTTAGTCTTGCCTCATTATCATTTGTTCGTTAAAACCTTAGTGATAAACTATAATTTCATGATTATATTAAAAAAAATGAAGTGTTCATATATAAAGATAATCACAAAGAAAACCCAAAATTTTAAACATATAAAAAATTATACATGACTAACCATGACCAATGTGACCAATATTTGTAATACTTGCATTTGGTTGAATGTCACATATTCGTTGAAACCCAATAGTCCGAGCTAATTGTCATACATATGTCGGTCTCCTTCTACAATATATAAAGGGGATACCCATTTTGGTAACCACCTTGGTCTCCACTTTTTTGGACCATTATACCCTTTTAATTTTAAAAATTAGAAAAAATATTTTTAATCAAATTTAAAAACTTGAAACTAATAAATCTATACTAATATATAAAGGGGATACCACTTTCAATTACTACTTTTGATTTGCATTTTTACATGGACCATTTTATTTTTATTTTTATTTTTCAATAACTACTTTTTTATGAGTAATTTTTTATTTTTAATTTTTTTTACTTATTTTTTTCTTTTAATATAATGCAGGCACGAAGTACCTTTTTCGTGCTAGTTAAAATAATGCAGTATAAGTAAAGAACAAAGAGTCTTCATATATAAAGATAAGTCATCATAAAGAAAATGACAAATTTAAAACATATTTAAAGTTAAACATGACTAACCAAAACTAATGTTAGTATTTTATATTAATCATAAACATTGGGATTAATGTGTAGCGAATCCACCAGCTATGGTGTTGATGACCCGCCTAGGTTGTGCCGAAGGCTCTTCCTCTCACCTATCTCTCGACCGACTACGTTCCCTGTATGAGTGCGTTCCCGCTCTCCTCTACTCGGGCTGATCATGTCGCCGAGACCGGTCGGCGTGTCGGGATGAGGTCGGACGGTCTATGAAGCCCTGCAGTTGCCCCTGCTTGATTAGGTCTTCAATTTTGTCTTTCAAAGCCGCGCATTCCTCTATGGAATGCCCCCGATTACGGTGGTACCTGCAAGACTTTGTTGTATCAGCCCTGGGAGGGGTCGAAGCTCGTTTTGGGACTGCTAGCACCTCTGAGGCAAGTGCTTGCTCTAGGACGGCCGATCTGCTTGTATTAAGTGGCGTATATTGTGAGTATCTCGGCCCGCGAGGAGGCTTCTCGCGAGGAATCAGCTCTTTCAGACGACTCCAGAAATTAGTCTCGGCTGACTTGTCAAGTTTTGCCGACACCTCTGCCCGGGCTTGGTTTCGAAACTCAGCCAATTCTTCCATCTGCATGTATTTGTCAGCTCGCCGACGCAAATCATCCATGACAGCAGGAGGTTTCTTACAAATGCTGTTGGCGAAAGGCCCTGGTTTCAAGGCGGTGGTAAGGTGGTGCAGAGCTACAGCAGGGTTCAGGTCTCGGATTTCAAGCGCTGCCTTGTTGAATTGGGTCATGAACGCCCGAAAGGACTCCTTTTTCTCCTGACGGATGCTAACTAGTGCCAAAGAGGTCAACTGGTGGGGCCGGCTTGTAGCGAACTGGATGGTGAACTGGGAGACTAACGTGTTGAACGAGTCAACGGAATTAGCAGGAAGCCGAGTAAACCAACTCAGTGCTCGCCCTTGTAATGATGTTGGGAAGATTCGGCACAAGGCGGCGTCATCAGTAGTGCTTAGAGTAACTTGAGTTAAGAACACATCGACGTGTTCATCTGGGTCGGTGGTACCATCATACTTGTCCAGAGGCAAGGACTTCCAATGGTCAAGAAGTGCAGATTGCATGATGTTTGGGGTAAAAGGGTGTCGGTGTGCTCCGGCCGGCGTCAGTTGTATCGGCCGGCTGACTGAAGCATGGACGGTTGGGGCAGCAACAAAAGTATGTGGGATAGAGGTGTGATGGTCGTGTGAGTGGAACGACCCCTGGGTTGTCTCAGAGGGTTTCCATGTGGGATCCCGGTACTGGTTCTTAAGGGCAGCATTCTCTGCTCGCAACGCGGCCATCTCGGCGGCATCTCTTTCCTGCTGCTGTTTCATGGTGGCCATTTCCTCCTTCATTTGGCGTACCATATCAGTCAAGTTTGTCTCCTCTACTATCTCGGCATTGTCTGCCCCGGACTGGTGCTCATCTTCGGACTGGTGGTCTTCAACGTTGTTTCTTCTTGTCTTTGCCATAATGTCTTCAAAAAGTCTTCACAGCTATCGGTGCGGCCCCACGGTGGGCGCCAAAATGTACCTGCCTGAGGGTACTCTCATAGTCTTCTTGGTGGTGAAGGGTCGAACGGATGCTTCAAACAAACTCTTCAAAAGGGGGAGGTACCTGCAAAAGGCACTCCGACGCTCAAGTTAGGACAAGCACGATATTCTAGGACAATTAATTAACAGTGACGTACCTCGTTACGTGTGACCTATTTATAATACCTGACATGGGCCTGAACGTGGTGGGCCTATTCTAATCTTTACCAAATTAGGTAATACGATGCTAATCAGCTAATCATGTCTTAATTATGCACTTGTCCTTGTTAACTGATTTGTACTATAACCCGTTTAACCTATCAGCACATTGCCGAGCCGACATGCTAATGCTCGGGGGTTGCATGTCTTCGACTGTTGGCCGGGCCGGTAAACGTTTACTTGGTAATCTTATCGGATCGGCATTGGGCCGAGCCGATACGTAGTATGCGGGGATGCATCAAGCTATTGGCATCGGCCTTCAGCCAAGCCGGTATGTGCCAGTTGACTAATCTCGGCCTTCGGCTATAAGCCGAGCCGACGCTAACGTCAGCCTTGGGTATGGTCCAGTTCGCATGGGTGTCTGACGGAACGGCACGTGTTGGTCAACGTGACCGATAGGGTCCTCCCGGTACACCAATTATACTTATGAAATTATAGTTAAGTTTTATGCTATTTGTAAACATCTGGACCAAGATATTTGAAGAAAAGAAAATGAGGTGAAACAAAGGATAACTTTTCTTGTTAACTTAGGCTTCAAAGATTTTTTCCTTCTTTTATAATTATTAATTTTTCAGTAATCTATACATTTATATTTATACTATTAATAAAAGAAATTGTCTCATTTAGTGTTTTTTTTATACAATTTTACCTTTTTTACAAATTACAAATTTTTAATTTTTTCTGTAAATCATTGTATATAATTGTCTGTATTTTTCATCTACTATTATATAATTTTTATTATTTATTATTTTATAAAAATAACTCACAGAGACACAAAATATCTTTTATACATTAGTTAATAATAAATAGAATAATCTCGCTCACTTTTTCTTTTTTATTTTAGCTTTAATAATTAATATAACCTTTAATATCTATACGAATTACTAAGACAAGAAAGAGAGAAATTTGTTATTTTCTATTCTTTTATGGAGTTTTTTGTTTTTCACTAGCATTACAATAATCTTGTTCAATTGTATGGTCTTTTTTGTTCTCTCTTTCAAAAATCTTCTTTAACTAAGAGATTAGTATTTGTGGATTTTAATCAAGTTTTAAAGCGGCACTACTGCATGTAGTCATCATAGTTTACCTCCTCCTAAATTTTCGTCTACTAAAAGTAATAAATCTTATGATTGAAATAATGTGTATGAATTTAATTTTTTAATTTTAAAAGACCTAAATGATTTCTGCATCTGCTAAACTTGTTATAACTCAAACCACTACCACAAATAGTAGTTGACCATGATGGAATTCAATGAAGCAATTAGGACTTAGTTTAGTAGTTAAGATAGGATAAAATATAGTGTAAAAGTATAATAAAATAAGAGTAGAAGAAATATTAATTTTATCTAATGTTTCGTATACATCATAATAATAAATTATATAATATTACTATATTATATATTCTATATTTAATATATATATATATATATATATACCAATTAAATAAATTATATTTAAATAATAAAAATTGTAACATTATGTATTTTATGTATTTTAATTTTAATTTATGTGATATAATTAAATATTGTTGTGTTATTATTGATGTTGTTTTAAGAGCTCTAAGAGTTTAAGAATCCTAGGAATTAAGTTGGTTGTGGTAACCTAAATTAGATGTTAAGTTGGTTCAGAGTAAGGATGGGTATATAAAATTTTCTTAAGACATTAATATCATAAGTTCATGTTTTAAAAAAATTAGAGAGAAGTTCTCTAGAATTCAAAGAAATTTTCTTTCTCTTCTTCTATTGATATCATTTCTCCACCTTCCATATAGTTAATCTGCTTGACTAAGTTGGAGATTCAAGCTTTTGGAGTGGAAATCTTAAAGTCAAAGTTGGGTGGAATACCCTTCTTCCTCTTCTCCTTTTTTCGATTGATCGACTAGAAGTAAGGGAAGCTTGTGATTGATGACTTGTAGGACTATGTTGATTGTTTGTTGTTGATGCTCATCAAATGTTGATTGTTTTGAATTGAATTCCATTGAAATATGATTTGCTTGAGTTTTGGGTCTTAGAGGTATTTGTAAGTGAATCCTTATGAATCTTTGGTTTCATGTTGCTTTTAAGTTGTTTAAGATGCATATATGTTGAGTTACTTGTTGCATGTTGGTATTTGCTAAATTTGAGGTGGGATGAGCCAAAACGAGTTTCTGTCAAGTGTAAAACTCACTGTCACACCAAGCGTGACTCAATTTAGGGGTTATCAACTATGATGATGTCAGGTGTAGGATTGATGGTGTCAGACGTAAAGTAATGGAATTGCATCTAACTTAGACACATCAGTCATGGATTTGAATGGTGCCTAGCATGAGGAAAGAGAATTGTCTTTGTCTAAGTTGGCACCGAGCATCAATGGAGTCATGTCGAGTGTGAGTTAGACGAAGACCTTCTACGTGATTGAGGTTGGGTGTGGATTTTTATCATGCCAGTCATGAGGGGACTGAGAAGCTCTCTACCTAATCCATCTTAGGCGTAAGTATATTGGCATAAGGCATGGACGAGACAAAAAGTCCCACGTCTTTATTGCGTCGAGCTCCCAGGGAATGGTGTTGGACATCAGTTGTTTGATAAAATGTAATGTTTTAAGTTGATTAATTGATGATGAATAATGAATAAATTATATGATGAACATTGTATTAGTTATAACTTATTATTTATTCAATTGATATAATGAATAATGGTGGTATATGGCCAAGATGTAAGTTTATAGATGATTAAGTTGTAAAGTTATATGATGCTATAGTTGAATAAGTTGTTAAACTTTTATGCATGTGGTGAAGATACATGTCTTAGTTGAGTTACATAAAAAACTAGAGGAGAGTTATGTTGTTTAAAATTGTCCTCTCTAGGATTTATGTGGAACAATATAGAGGTGTGATCAATCCATATTGTAGTTAAAGTGACCAACCAAATAAGGTATAAGGTCGAGGACTTAGTTCCTAACTGAGTACTAGAAGGGCATAGTAATTGGAGGATAGTTGGTGGGCTAATCTCCTAGAAGGCTTAGTGATGCAAGCTATTGGTGTGGTAGGTCTATACCCAAGTTATTCTACTCTGATAAAAATACTAGACTTCCTAGATTAAGTGAAGAAACCTAAGAAATCAAATTAATTTATATAGTTGACACTCCAAGAGGCCTAATGTTATGTATAGTTAACTTGGTTGTGATAGGTCAGATGTGTAAATTAATTAGTTTATAAAGAGATGATGGAATTTTACTTAAACTTTTGTTTTATATTTTGCAGGATTCAATGAAGATCCAAAGTCTCAAAAAACTTGAATTCAGTTAGATGTTTAGAAAAGGATTGAGTCCTTCAGAGGCAAAGACCAAGATTTAAAGGAGAGGTTAAATCGTTCAGTCGTTTTGAAAGGGTTGAGTGGATTGGCTCCAAATGGATGCAGATTTTTGCTTTCTTAGGGGCTCAAGGGATCCAAAAGGCTCAGCCATTAAAGTTGCTTTACCACGAAGAATCCTCCAAATCACTCAACCATTTAGAAAAGGCTGAGTGGTTTGCTTTCTCTCCTCCATACTCTGCTTTGTTTTGATACGCATATACAATAACTGGGAAGGAGAAAAAAGGGGGAGATCACGAAGACTTGAGAGAAAGTTACAGAGCAAGCAAAGAGTCCAAGAATCAACTGGGAACGAGGATTTTAGTATTTTTCTTTCTTTCTTTTATACCTTCTCCATGTATTTTGGATTAGCTCTCATCACCATGAGTGGCTAACTTTTCTTTTTGTTGGGGTTAAACAATTCATCAATCTCTTATGTACTGCTTTTGATTTACATATATGATAATCTATTATTTAGTGATAGTAGTTTTGATCATATTCTTAATGCTAAGGTGAGTTAATCACTCATCTTTGATCTTTGATTTGGATTTTGGTTGGAAAACATTTTCTAAATCTGGTTTTAAATCAAATCACCTAACAACTCTAAAGACTAGGAATAAATTTGGAGTTGATAGTTGAACAAGTTCTTAAAATTAATGCAAGGTTTCTAATTTGAAAAATGGAGGAATCATTTATTGAATTAGACTCCTTAGAATTTCTGAATGCAAGGAATTGATTTGAAATGACCTTAATGAACTTAATAACATTGGATGGAATCATATATAGATAATCTTAGAAGAATATAAGGGTGAAATTGGTGAAACTCAACCCCAATAACTTTTCATATTGTTATCTTCCCGGGTTACTACTACTTTGTTAGCCATCTTTTTGATAATTTCCAATATTGAAATATGAAAAACATCATGTTTATAATATCTGTTAATCTTTATATTTCAAGTTTTTACTAGGATAATTGAAATTATAAGTATTTTTTCAAGTTCCTAAAGTTCGACAACCCATACTCTTTTATATACTACGGTGCCTTGGTGCGCTTGCCTTAAAAACTCATCATTCGTTAAGGTTGTGAGACCCGCAACTGATAACACATTTCCCCTTCCAAACTCTCACTCAAAACCCTCCCTTTCACTCTTTTTTCCCCATCCATTCTCTTTTGGTTGATCACACTTTTGTTGCTTGGATTCAAGGTGCTGAGTAAGTATCTAGGAGCTTGCGGACGCACGGAATTCTTCTTCCTTCTTCATTCACCATCTCTTTCAAGCTTCTTCTTCCTTGTGCCTCCCAGAGCTCGAAAACTTTGAACCGAGGTAAGGGAAGCTGGCTTTCTTCGCTGTTTTTGGATGTCATGGAGTTCAAGTAACTCAATAGTTGTTGAAGAGGTTGATTCTTGGCTGTGACCGAAGAAAAATTTTCGTTTTCGGGTTTCCGGGGTTTGGGTGCAAATTTTGGGGTTTTCACTTGTTGATGGTTGCATGTTGGAAATGAAGGGTTTTTCTTAATGCTTGATGAAAATGCTGGTTTTTGCTTGGTTTGCATGTTGGTTTCCTGGTTGTTTTGCAGGGTTGGGTGAAATTTTTGAACTTTCTGGTGTTGCTGTTGAGTTTCACACTGAGCGTAGTTCGTCGCGCCAGGCGCGTGGCCTCCAGGGGACTCCATTTAGGCAAACCTGCCAGGCGCGGGCATGGGTGCGCCGGGCGCATTTGCGAATGTGGGTCTCTGGCTGGTCCGCGCTGGGCGTGACTTGGACCGCGCTGGGCGCGATACCAGTTGAGACATATTTTGGGATTCTTGGTTCGGCGCTGAGCCCGACCCTTGTCGCGCTGGGCGTGAGTCTCATGGAGAGTCTCTACCTTATGGGCGCTGGGCGCAATTTGTATTGCACTGGGCGTGAGACCTTGGGGAGGTCTTTGCCTTCCCCGCGCTGGGCGTGGGTTTGGGCACGCTGGGCGCATGGGACTCCTTGGAGTCTCTGCCTGGCCTGCGCTGGGCGCAATTGGTATTGTGTCAGGCGCGTGGGAGCCTTGGGCTCTCTGGCAGAGTCCTGCCGGGCGCGGGCATGTGTGCGCTGGGCACGCTAGCCCCCTGGTGCTCTCTGGTTGCTCCACGCTAGGCGCAACCACGAGTGCGCCGGGCGCAGAGAAGTGAGTTCACTAATGGATGTTTGAGGTTGTTTATGTTGAGTTTAAGTCGAAGATGTTGGTTTTAAATGTGATGACATGTGGTTAACGCTACTTGTTGAAGTTGAGTTGTATATTGTTGTAAGTTGACATGTTGAGCTGTAAAGTTGTGTTGTGTTGTATGTTGATATTTGTTGATGTAGGCCGCAAGGCTGAGTTGTTGTAGGCCGCAAGGCTGAGTTGTTGTAGGCCGCAAGGCTGAGTTGATGTAGGCCGAAAGGCTGAGTTATTGTAGGAGATCTCCGAGTTGATATGCGTGACGATGCATTGTATGCTTATTGATGATTATGCTGTAAAAACCGAAGGGATGTATGTTGATGAAGTGTTGATAGTTGTAGTTGTTCATATTACTTAAATTTTTCCTATATGTTGCTCTTTTATGCTAGCTTACCCTTTTGTTGTTTCCATGTGGTTGGACTGCGATGATCATACTATGTATGGGAGCAGAGCAGGGATAGGTGGTGGCTAGTGGTGAGTCTGCAGCTGGCAGGCGGAGCTGTCTCCTTTTGATGTTTTGTTTGTTTCAGCTACTTGGCATAGTGGCTTTGGATGTATTTTTGGATTGTACACCCTAACTCTAGTTGGATTGGAACATTTGTATATATTTATATTCTAGACTCTATATTTATATACTCGTTCTATTATGCCTGGTGTTTCTGGTGCGCTGTGGTTGTGAGTGTAGTGGCCAGCCAGGTCGTTACACTTTAGTGGTATCAGAGCAGGTCAAGTCTAGTGGACACTCTTTGGGGGTGGTTCCTTTAGGCTTTTGTTGTGTTAGCTCTGTGTTGTGTTGTCTTGTTGTGTTGTCTGTTGTGTTGATTGGTGCGATGAATTGTTGTGTTGCTAATTGTTGTTTGGTTGAGTGGTAATATACTAAAGAAGCTGTTATTTTTGTAGACGATGACTAGAACCAATGAACAAATAGCCCGTGCCATAGAGATGATGACTATGGCTATGCAGTAGCAAAATGCTTATTTTGCTTGGATGGAAGCTGAAAGAGCTGCAGCTGGTGCAGCAAGGCCCACGGGGTCATAGGAGAGTCGGGACCTAGCTGAGTTCCAGAAGTGTCATCCTCCACAGTTTGCGGGAGATGTAGATCCAGAGGCAACTGACCGCTGGATATGTGAGTTGGAGAAGATTTTTGCCGTTCTGGGATATTCTCCAGAGAAGAGGTTGGTATATGTTGTGTATATGCTTGTGGGAGAGGCCAAACATTGGTGGAAGGGCACTTATCAGATGCTTGTGGGGAGAGGAGTTACAATTGACTGGGAGTGCTTTAGGACAGTGTTCATGGAAAAGTATTTCCCGGAGAGCGTGAGGCACGCCAAGGAGGCGGAGTTCATGCGGTTACACCAGGGAGGGCTATCTGTATCGGAGTATGCGATGAGGTTCGAGCACTTGGCTCGTTTTTATTCACAGGCTATTTCTGAGGCCTGGAAGTGCAGAAAGTTTGCTGAGGGTCTGAAGTATGAGTTGAAGAAGGTGGTGGTGCCTATGGCCATCACCGAGTTTCCTGCCTTAGTAGAGAAGGCGAAGATTGTGGAGAGGTTGGAAGGGGGTAACCGTGTGATCAGAGCTACTGAGGGACCAGCTGGGTCCAAGAGGGGAGGTGGAAGTCAGAGGAAGCCGTATGATAGGCCCCAGCCACAGCAAGGGGGTCCTGTCATCAGGCAACCTGTTGAGACTACCAGAGGAGGAGGACAGGGTGGAGGTGTTGCCCTTAGGTGTTATAGGTGTGGTGGATCCCATTTGATAAGGGATTGTCCACACACTGAGAGCAGATGTTTTAGATGTTAGCAGATGGGCCATGTGTCTTTCAACTGTCCCACCAAGAGTAGACCAGAGAGGAGTACTCAGAGGAGTGATGCGCAGAGAGCTGATACTTAGAGGAGTAGTGTGCAAATGGTTGAGACTCAGAGGGGTGACAGACCCACTACAGCTGGTAGTGATGTTTGCTTTGACAGGTGCTAAGGCTTCAACTTCTTCTGACCTAGTGAAGGGGAAGGGCAAGGCTGCTGGTAAGGATGTGATGCTTTTGTTTGACTCTGGGGCTTCCCATTCATTTATTTCCTATGCTTGTGTTGCTATGCTGGGTGTGCCTGTGTGTGACTTGGGGTTGAGACTGTTAGTGTCGACGCCCGCTTCTGCTTCAGTAGTTACTTCTGAGCTGTGTGCTAACTGTCCTATTGTTGTGAATGGGAAGAAGTACAAGGTAAACTTGATTTGTTTGCCTTTGGTTGATATTGACATAATCTTAGGGATGGATTGGTTATCTGCCAATCGTATCCTTATAGATTGTGCCAATAGGCGGTTGATCTTTCCACAGGAAGAGGATGAGTTGTTAATTTCAGCTGGTCAAGCCGAATCAATGCTGAGGGATGGAGCGGAGTGTTGCCTTCTGCTTGCTATGATGAATGTGGAGACTGAGAGGGTCATTTCTGAGATAGATGTGGTGAGAGACTTTGCTGAGGTGTTTCCTGATGAGGTGTCTGGGTTGCCTCCTGTTAGGGAGATGGAGTTTAGCATTGACCTGGTTCCAGGTGCGGGGCCAGTGTCGGTGGCTCCCTATAGGATGGCTCTTGCCGAGCTGGTTGAGTTGAAAGGTTAGCTGGAAGACCTATTGGAGAAGCAGTTGGTGAGGCCGAGTGTTTCGCCGTGGGGTGCTCCTGTGTTGTTGGTGAAGAAGAAGGATGGAGGTAGGTGCTGTGGCGTGCTCCTGTATTGTTGGTAAAGAAGAAGGATGGAGGTAGTCGACTTTGTGTTGATTACCGGCAGTTGAACAAGTTGAACATTAAGAACAAATATCCACTTCCCCGGATAGATGACTTAATGGATCAACTGAGGGGAGCATCGGTGTTTTCTAAGGTTGACTTGAGGTCAGGATATCACCAGATTAGGGTGAAGGAGGGTGACATACCGAAGACTACTTTCAGGACTAGGTATGGTCACTATGAGTATGTCGTGATGTCGTTTGGTGTGACTAACGCCCCTGCAGTGTTCATGGATTTCATGAACAGGATTTTTCGACCGTTCTTGGATAAATTCGTGGTGGTGTTCATTGATGATATCTTGATTTATTCAAGAACCCGGGAAGAACATGGAGAGAACTTGAGGGTAGTGCTGGAGATTTTGAAGGCGAAGCACCTGTATGCTAAGCTTTCAAAATGTGAGTTCTGGTTGAATGAAGTGAAGTTCTTGGGCCATGTGATTTCAGCTGAGGGGATTGCTGTTGATCCGGCTAAGGTGGAGTCGGTGTTGCAGTGGGAGCGTCCGAGGAACGTCACTGACATTCGGAGCTTTGTGGGTTTGGCGGGTTACTATCGACGGTTCATTGAGGGATTCTCCAAGATAGTAGCGCCTCTAACCCAGCTGACGAGGAAGGAGTAGCCGTTCATTTGGACAGATGCCTGTGAGCGGAGTTTTGAGGAGTTGAAGAGGAAGTTGACTACTTCTCCTGTGTTGGTGTTGCCGGATTCTGGTGAACCCTTTGATGTGTATTGTGAGGCTTCTCACCAGGGTCTTGGATGTGTGTTGATGCAACACGGGAAAGTGGTGGCCTATGCTTCAAGGCAACTGAAGAATCATGAGAGGAATTATCCCACTCATGACTTGGAGTTGGCAGCTGTTGTGTTTGCTTTGAAGATATGGCGACACTTTTTGTATGGTGCTCGGTTCAACGTCTTTAGTGATCATAAGAGTCTGAAGTATCTGTTTGATCAGAAGGAGCTGAACATGAGGCAAAGACGGTGGATGGAGTTTCTGAAGGACTATGACTTCCAGTTGATGTATCATCCTGGTAAGGCCAATGTTGTGGCGGACGCGCTGAGTAGGAAATCCATCCACATGTCGAGTATGATGGTGAGGGAGTTGGAACTGATTGAGAAATTCAGAGACTTGAACCTCGGTGTGGAGTTAGCTCAGGATCACATTAGTTGTGGGACGGTCACCATAACTAATGAGTTCTTGAGGCAGGTTGGACTTAGGCAGTTGCAAGATGCTGAGATGGTGAAGCTTCTTGGTTTGCTGGGTACTGAGAAGGTTGTTGGCTTCGAATTGGGAGAAGATGGAATCTTGAGGTTCAAGGGCAGAGTCTGCCTACCTCAGGATGCTGAGCTGAAGAAAGCTGTGTTGGAGGAAGGCCACAAGAGTAGACTTAGCATACATCCGGGTATGACTAAGATGTACCAGGACCTTAAGAAGACTTTCTGGTGGCCTGGCATGAAGAGGGAGATCGCTGAGTATGTGGCGGCCTGTCTGACTTGTCAGAAGGCGAAGGTGGAGCATCAGAAGCCGAGTGGGTTGATGCAGCAGATGGAGATTCCGGAGTGAAAGTGGGATAGCATTACTAGGGATTTCATTGTTGGGTTGCCAAGGTCAGCTAGGAATAGTGATGCTATCTGGGTGATTGTAGACCGGTTGACCAAGTGTGCACATTTCTTACCCGTCAACATCAAGTGGTCCTTGGAAAAGCTGACACAGTTGTATGTGAGGGAGATAGTACGGCTGCACGGGGTGCCTTCCAGCATTATTTCCGACCGAGATCCGAGGTTCACTTCCAGATTTTGGTAGAGTCTACACCAAGCCTTAGGCACGAAGTTGAAGCTGAGTTTTGCTTATCATCTGCAGACGGATGGTCAGTCAAAAAGGACAATCCAGTCCTTAGAAGATCTGCTTAGGGCTTGTGTGTTAGACCACTTGGGTAGTTGGGAGGAGGTCCTACCGTTGGTTGAGTTCACCTACAACAACAGTTTTCATGCAAGCATTGGGATGGCACCATTTGAAGCGCTGTATGGCAGAAGATGTACGACTCCTCTGTGCTGGTATCAGGATGGTGAGTCAGTGGTGGTAAGTCCGGAGCTAATCCTACAGACTATTGAGAAAGTGAAGATGATTCAGGAAATGATGAAGACTGCTCAGAGTAGGCAGAAGTCGTATGCTGACAAGAGGAGGAAGCATTTGAAGTTTGCCGAAGGGGAGCATGTGTTTCTGAAGGTGACTCCGACTTCTGGTGTGGGTAGAGCGCTGAGGGCAAGGAAGTTGACACCGAGGTTCGTGGGTCCCTATCAGATCATGCAGCGTGTGGGTCTGGTTGCTTATCAGTTGGCCTTGCCACCGTCTCTTTCAAACCTGCACGATGTGTTTCATGTGTCCCAGCTGAGAAAGTACGTTCATGACCCGAGTCATGTGGTGGAGCTAGATGATGTGCAGGTGAAGGAGAACCTTACTTTTGAGAAGTTGTCGGTAGCTGTAACTGATTGTAAACTGAAGGAGCTGAGGGGCAAGTCTATTGCTCTGGTAAAAGTATTGTGGGATGCAGCTACTGGTGAAGCTACTTGGGAGGTGGAACAACAGTTCAGGGAGCGTTACCCGTTTCTTTTCCCAAGTAAGTCTATTTTCGGGGACGAAAACTCTTGTTGTTGGGGAGGTTGTGAGACCCGCAACTGATAACACATTTCCCCCTCCAAACTCTCACTCAAAACCCTCCCTTTCACTCTATTTTCCCCATCCATTCTCTTTTGGTTGATCACACTTTTGTTGCTTGGATTCAAGGTGCTGAGTAAGTATCTAGGAGCTTGCGGACGCATGGAATTCTTCTTCCTTCTTCATTCACCATCTCTTTCAAGCTTCTTCTTCCTTGTGCCTCCCAGAGCTCGAAAATTTTGAACCGAGGTAAGGGAAGCTGGCTTTCTTCGCTGTTTTTGGATGTCATGGAGTTCAAGTAACTCAATAGTTGTTGAAGAGGTTGATTCTTGGTTGTGACCGAGGAAAAATTTTCGTTTTCGGGTTTCCGGGGTTTGGGTGCAAATTTTGGGGATTTCACTTGTTGATGGTTGCATGTTGGAAATGAAGGGTTTTTCTTAATGCTTGATGAAAATGCTGGTTTTTGCTTGGTTTGCATGTTGGTTTCCAGGTTGTTTTGCAAGGTTGGGTGAAATTTTTGAACTTTCTGGTGTTGCTGCTGAGTTTCGCACTGAGCGCAGTTCGTCACGCCGGGCGCGTAGCCACCAAGGGACTCCATTTAGGCAAACCCACCGGGCGCGGGCATGGGTGCGCCGAGCGTGTTTGCGAATGTGGGTCTTTGGCTGATCCGCGCTGGGCGTGACTTGGACCGCGCTGGGCGCGATACCAGTTGAGACATATTTTGGGATTCTTGGTTCGGCGCTGAGCGCGACCCTTGTCGCGCTGGGCGTGAGACTCATGGAGAGTCTCTACCTTGTGGGCGCTGGGCGCAATTTGTATTGCGCTGGGCGTGAGACCTTGGGGAGGTCTCTGCCTTCCCCGCGTTGGGCGTGGGTTTGGGCACGCTGGGCGCATGGGACTCCTTGGAGTCTCTGCTAGGCCTGTGTTGGGCGCAATTGGTATTGCGCTAGGTGCGTGGGAGCCTTGGGCTCTCTGGCAGAGTCCCGCCGGGCGCGGGCATGTGTGCGCTGGGCGCGCTAGCCCCCTGGTGCTCTCTGGTTGCACCATGTTGGGCGCAACCACGAGTGCGCCGGGCGCGGAGAAGTGAGTTCACTAATGGATGTTTGAGGTTGTTTATGTTGAGTTTAAGTCGAAGATGTTGGTTTTAAATGTGATGACTTGTGGTTATCGCTACTTGTTGAAGTTGAGTTGTATATTGTTGTAAGTTGACATGTTGAGCTGTAAAGTTGTGTTGTGTTGTATGTTGATATTTGTTGATGTAGGCCGCAAGGCTGAGTTGTTGTAGGCCGCAAGGCTGAGTTGATGTAGGCCGAAAGGCTGAGTTGTTGTAGGAGATCTCCGAGTTGATATGCGTGACGACGCATTGTATGCTTATT